TTTTTCTGCATTAAAATTGTCAAAACTCCAGAAATCTAACATGAAGTTGTGTATAAACCAATGGAGCAAACAACCATCTTCCCTCTTGTGATGTCACGTGTGACCACACCCACATTTGCTAAATACAGGATGCAGAAATGAGAAAGTAAATTATGCACTTTTAAAGCAGTTTTTCTCTAGGAAAGAGCAATTATTTTGCACCAAAAGTATTTTTGCAAGTCATTCTACACCATAATGAAAATATTTTTGATTTTTAATCAAAACCCGATTTTTCGTGTCGGTTGCCCTTTAAAAGAGCCCACAAGCAAGTGCATCGTAATGGTAATAAAGAACGTTAATGTATGTGCCATGTATGCATTGGATAATTAGAGGCAGAGCAAGAGTGAAACAGTTTGTTCATAATTGCATTGTGTGCAAAAGATTAGAAAGAAAGCATTATGGTGTTCCAGTACCTCCTCCCAGCATTTAGAGTGAGAAAAGCCTCTCAATTTTTAAGTACGGAAGTTGAATTTGCTGGGATATTTTTTATGAAAGAGCACAGAGAATGTGAGAGTAAAATGTTGGTGTACCAGTTTACTTGTTGCGTAATCAGAGCAATCCATTAAAAATATTGTAAATAATATGTCTGTGCAGTCCTTTTTTAGGTGTTTCTGAAGGTTTCCTGTTAACTGTGTGTTACCAAACAGGATGATCTCAGACATTGCTACAACCACTTAAAGAAGCAGCAAGGATTATAAATAAAGCATCCTGATGTTTATCTGTGTTTAGAGGATTCTTGAGTCAAATGTGGAGAAGGCCCCTTGTTTGGGTGGCATATTCGGGTGGTTAATCCTGTCAAATGTTGTATAAGAGAAAAAATTGGTAGAAGGAAACTGAATCTGAAAGAACAGTCTACTGTCATTATTGAGGTGAAGATGATCATTAACTCCAGACCATTAACTGTCTTTCGGGGTGATCTAGAAGAGCTTATCACTCCATCACATCTACTCATCGCGTACAGACTTTTGAACTTACCTGAATGCATTCTTTATAAAGATGATGAAGAATATGATGTTACTTTACAGCTGCTGACTAAGGAATGAGACATGTGGAAGAAATAATGAATCACTTCTGTAAACGGTGGAAGGTGCATTATTGAATGGAGCTCCATGAAGCTCATTGTTTTGGTCCATATAGAGCCACATCTCATTGTCATTATTCATATTGAAGATAAGAAGATAGGTTTCTGGAAACTTGGATGAGTGCATAAAGTTATGACTGGGCATGATGGTCAGAATTGTAGGGGTGTCATCTCAGGACACAAGTCAAATTTGTTGAGAGCTGTACAGCGATTGTATCAACTTGAAGTGAAAGAGTGTCAACCAGAAGAGCAGTTAATAGCCAGCAGTATTACTGAAGAGATGATAGATAACGCTGAAGTGATAACAAATAACATAGAGAGTGGTGAAAGATTCAATACACGTACTAATTAACCAGGAAGGTGATACTGTCTCTAAGGAGGAAAAGAAGGTTTCAGCTAAAGGGACTAGAAGATCTAGTAGAGTTTCCGCTTCTAAAGCTGCAGATAAAATCCTAGTTCATTTAAAGCAATAGCTAATTATTGTGAGACCTAACTTCATAATGTCTTTGTATTATTATCGTAGTGGATATAGGTCCGATAACCGGACGTGTCAGGCAGAGCTATACGTCTGGCAGTGGTTGCGACTTCTGGTTATTGTTGTTACATCCGGCAGCAGCCCCTATATAGTATACTGGGGCTTTACCCCAGTAAAATAATACACAAATTTATATACAGATTTCCAGTATAAATACAACAGTCAGCAATGTTGATGCAGCAGGGTCGTGGTGGTGCAGTGGAGAGGTTTATGTAGATTGCACAGATGTTGTAAGTAGTTCGAATCTGGTCAGGACTACTGAGTAAAAGTATGCTACCGTCTTTGATTTTTTTTTCTTTTTTTACATACCTTTTTTGGCTTTTTTTTTTGGCTTTTTTATGTCAAAGAATAAACTCCCTCTCGTACATCTTAGCCTCCGGGATTGTAGGGTTGGGATTGGGGTTTAGTGTTTAGTTCTTAAAGCGCCCTCTCATACATCTTATTTTCTGTGATAGTAGGGTTTTGGGATTAGGGTTTAGTGTTTCTTGATAAAAGACTAAGTTCCATTTTGCACTATTGCACACACAAGCTGTTTTACGGAGAAAAATGGACTGCCGGAACTATAGCTCTGCAAAATGCATCCGGTTACCGGATCTATAGCCACTGCCTATTATTATTGGTGTATGCATTGATTATTAATATCTCTGTGTCTGTTGTTTTGTATTAGTGGATAGAGGAGTTGCAGCGGAAGTAATTACTATGTGTCGGTGCTTTCTTTCTGCCATGTTGGGTGGCAGAAAGCACATTTATACACGTTGATGCCATGATATGCTATTAAACAGTGGATCATGGAGCCAGAAAAGCTACCAAAGTTTAGTTGGACTGATTTGACTTGTTACATGGTTGCTACACCAAGCCCAAACACAAGAAATTATAAAGGTATAGGATATGTAAATTAAAGCGTATTATCAGGGGCTTCGATAAATTTAGTTCACCCTCCAGGTACAACAGCACCGTGAATCTTGAGTCTGTTTGTCTGTGCCTTTGTAGCCTCAATTTTGTGGCACTTGTATGCATCCCAAACAGGTAACCTTTTGTGGAAAGTTAAGAGTACCAATAATAGAGCGAAGGTAGTCAGAAGTTAACTTATTGTTCATCCAGCCATTTGAACTGAATCTTATAACAATTTGATTGATACTTTTCAGATCATTAATTAGCCGAGTGCCTTTACCTTTGAATACTGCAAAGGGTTTCATCTTTTTCCATTAGCACAAGCTGTCAAAACTACTGTGAAGTGGTCTCTCTCATGACCACGTGTCTCGACACACTACTTGCTCCTTGGACATCTACTGTAGTCTCAGGTGGCAAGTCCATATAGCACCCTTTCGTCAATGGCAAGTATGTTTGCTGAAACAAAACTTCTGCACAGCCCCAATCTGTTGAAGGTGCATTAAATAGCTCACATGCTTGGGTATGGTATCTCTCGGAGTTTGTTAGCAAATGGTTGTCTTTCTTCTCAAGCTTAGGGTCTTTTTAAGAAACAAATGAAGCCAGCCTTTACTAGCTTTAAAATTAGCAGTTGGATCATGCTGAGCCATAAAATGCTTTGATTTTTCTCGTATCATTTGTCTATTCACTCTCATATACTGGCTAGTGATGGGCGAATCCAGAAATTAGCATTCGATTCCGATTCCAAATACTTTTGGGACTGGAATCGGTGGAATCGAATACCAATTCCGAATACTGACAAATGCGCATGCGCAGAACCACGTGTTGTCTTAAGTACTCTTGAATATCAATAATACTAACACAATATCAGATTATTAAATATAACACTTTAAACTATAGTCTAATTTCTTGTTGAGAAACAAAATGATGTCCACATTCTTTGGTGAGATACGATTTCTTCTTTCAGAAACTAGGACTCCTGCCTGGAAAAAGTCTTTCAGAAGGGACAGATGGACCTGGAATGCATAAATAACGTCTTGCTAGCACTTTTAACAATGGGAAACGACAGCTGTTCTCTTTTCACCATTCAAGAGGATCTTTATTTCTAGTAATGACGGCTTCCTCGAAGTATCTCCTGACTTATTTAGTTGTCTCAACAGTAGAAGTTCGATGAATTTGTGACTCCTAAGCCTTTTGGTCAAATGAGTTCCAAATACTGTCAGTTCAGGCCTCTTCCATGTCAGGTGACCAAGAATCCTGATCAGTTGAGTTGATTGATGGTTCGGGAACAACCGTTTGTAACTCTTGTGTTATTCTGTTTATTGTGTGGCTAAGGGCTGTCTTGTCAACGAAGGAATTTTTTTTAAACGCGGATCAAGTAGCGTGCTAACTGCTGTGACATAGTGGGTCTCAATAGACGTAAACCTGTTATTCAGTTCTGAGTTCAGGGATCCAGTAAGTACTGAGGAAGGATTGGCTCTATAAAGTGAGCTACAGTGCTGTTGAAGAATTTTCGTTAAAGGAACTATCATTGAAATAGAAACATATGCTTGCCCTGATATGTTCTCTGTGGCTTCTAAAAATTGCTTTAATAGTTGCAGTGCTCTAGAATTATCCTTCCCGTCAGCTTTCAAGCAAAGATCATTTTGATTCACCAAACAGAGAGTCGTTGTTATTGCTTCAAATTGCTCGTAAAAACGTTCAAGCATGATGTAAGTTGAAATCCAACGAGTGGAAACATCTTGTACCAACTTGTGCTCTGGGAGTGAAAGTTGGAGTTGGATCTCTCCTAGCTTCTCTGTTGATTTAACACTGCGATGGAAGTGTGAAACAACATTTTTACACTTTGTTTGTACTGCAAAAAGCTCAGGATCACTCTTGATTGAGTTCTGGACTACAACATTTAGAGAGTGTGCAAAGCATGGTAGATGACGCCAACGAGTTGATGAAATAGCAGCCACCATGTTAGCAGCATTGTCAGTGACCACACATACTATTTTATCTTGTATGTTCCAGCTTTCAACAACTCGTTGCAACTCCATCGAAATATTGGCTGCTGTGTGATCCAAGCAGAAATGAAAGGTTTCCAAAAGGTATGACTTCAGCTCCCAGTCTCCATTTATTAGATGAGTTGTAACACAGCAGTAGGATTTTGTTTGGCATGATGTCCATATGTCTGTGGTATGAGCAACAGAAGTAGCAGCGTTCATCTCCTCAATCTTTGCTTTCGTACTTTCATACTTCTTTGGTAGAATTTCTCTTGTTATTGTACGCCGACTAGGAATTTGATAACGATTGTCAAGCACAGTGACCAGTTTCTTAAAACCAGCATCTTCAACTACAGAGGTAGGTTGCATATCTTTGCAAAGAAATTCAATAACTGCATCATCTATTTTCTTCCTTTTCATAGAGTCACTGGAATATGGATGGCTCTGAAGGAACATAGCAGGTATTGTTTGAACTGGCGTGGATGATTCTGAACCTTTGGCCTTCTTTTGATTCTCATTTGCTTTCCTTTCCTCAAGACATTCCTGGTACTCTTTTTGATGTTTTGTCTGGAGATGTTTCAGTAAGTTGCTTGTATTCTTACAATATGTTAACTTGCTTTTGCAGATTAGGCAAGCAGCATTCTTGTCATCATGTACTTTATTGAAATATGTCCACACTGAACTTCTGGATCGTTTTGAAGTAGAAGAAGGAGAAGCCATAATGCTCGGGACTACGTTGACCTACAATAATTCTAACTTTCAAATTTTGATTCTGTCTTTTTAAGTTTAAGTTCTGCTCCTTTTATACAAGCTAGAGAGGGGTGGGAATAGAGTACAATCCAACCAATCATTTGTGTTTGATGCAGGCAGGTATAGTGTTAAATAACAGCTGTAATGTGTCCAGACTAATTAATAACCACATTTGATTGCAAGCAGATGTCTTTGCTAAGTTTGCTGCAGCAAGCAAATGCAATAATAATGAATAATTGTATTAATAACTACTGATTTATTAACTATTATTAATATTAAAAGCTGTGGTTGGGTGTGGCTGAACTCGGAATCGTTTGAAACGATTCCCCCTTCTCTTTTGATACGAGTACGATTCCATTTGGAATCGAAGGATCAAATACTCTAGACTCGGAATCGCCCATCACTAATACTGGCTCCTTAGATACATTATCCAGTCAAACAATTCGTCCTCCATACCTTCGTTGAATGGTTTTCTTACAGCTTCTGCCAGTGTCTTGCTGCGACTTGTCTTGTTCTTTTTGAGCGCCAATAGCTGGTCAGTTAGAGAGCACCATTCACAAATTCTTATACGATCCATTTTAAACTCTCCAGCAGCTGCCTCTTTACTCTTAGACTCTGCTGCTTCAACTGCTCTAAGTTTAAATTCAACACTTGCGTGACATCTTTTCTTTGCTGTATCTGAAGTTGTAACCATGTGCTACTTTATCTATGCCCACATGTCACTTTAATCAACCATTCCTACATTAATTGACCATGCCCAGGTTTTAATTTAAGACAGGTGTCTGTTAAATGTTTTAAACAAAAACTGTGTGTAATTAAGACCCAGCTTTTAATTGCTTCCAGCTTTTATTTGACGATTTATAGTATACACTACTTAACAGGTAGCACAAAGGCAAATTGCACTAGTGGAACAATCAACAGGACAGTCAGGGAGCAAAGTATGGCACTTGTTTTGAAACGGTAGAATCCCAGGCTCGACACTGAAATCTGTTGTGTACCAGTCATTCAAAGTGTTTTCAGGCATGTTTACTACCTGCAACAATTTAAATTCTCAACAAACGCCACTTGGTAAATGCATTATGTACTCTTACTTATATAAGAGTTTTATTTATAGATGGGGTTCAGATCACGAATCTATTGCTATTAAAGATTTTGAAGAAAAGGCTGAACAAAAGCACATTGGGTTTTGAATTAGAAAGGCTGGTTTTTTTATTGATGCAGAAGTACCTTTTCTTTTGGTTTTCACCTGATGCAGAAGTGTCTTGTGACTGACATGGGCGTGGAGTGGTAGAAGTCAAGTGTCCTTTCAGCATTAAGGACAAGCTTGCAGAAGACAACATCAAAGGGTTTTGTATGAATAAAGTTAATGTGTTGTCACTTCAAAGTGACCATGCATACTGTTACTACATTCAACTACAGATGAGAGTTTGTACTGTCAATTCATTGTATTGTCAAAGTCAGGGCAAATAAGTCAACTAATTTCATTCATTAAAGATTTTGCCCGGTTGATTATTAAAATTACTCACTTTTTCAAGTGTGCCACTTTACCTAAACTTTTGGGAAAATGGTACACTCGAAAACTAGTTGTTAATGAATATGGCATTGTGCCAACTCCAGCCATTGTACAGCAGTCCGTTAAAGTGAAGACTATGACTGAGTATGGTGTTATTGTCAACTACCTAGTGATGGCACTATGATTCAATGTGATTATGAGGCAATGAGAATGAAATAGTTCCATTCAGATTGTCTCAGAATTTGGCCCAAAAGGCAAATGGTATTGTTGTAGCTGCAGAAAACTTCCAAAAAAAACACTTCAAACAGCGAATTAAATAATCAATTTTTGTCACTAAATAATCATGCAATTATTGTAATAATTGTCTATTATAATCAATCTAGTGGTACAAAAGAAGGCGACAGATTTACAAGAGCACAACGTCCACTGACTATTATATCAATTGTAGAGTAATTAACATGAGATGACTCACTATGTAGTAGTAGTAGTAATACTGACTCTAAAATTGTATATTTTTGCTTTAATGCACAAAATACCCTTTTGACATGAATTCTCAATTAATTATTTCCTGCTCCAATCAGCATCAATTTTTTCAAGTTGCTTTCTCCCTTTTGTAAAAGGCATTGTAACTTCTGCAATGGTCAATTCAGAACAAATAAACCCTGTCTGCTAAGATAACGTAACTTGTAATTTATTTACAAAAGGAACTAACTTATTGGCATGCAGTAACTCACCTGGCTCAAGACAATGTGCCAAATCAGATAGTTCACAAACTCTTCATTAGATATTCGTCCTTTAATAAAAAGGAAAGTGCACCCTGCAGTGTTATTCCAATCAAAATCTTTATAGTAGAGTGATGCTTGTAGTTTTTCCGCACTTGAGCTCAGCAAGTAAATTGCTAGGTCTTTCCCTTAGAGCAATCTATTATTACCCTAAATTTTGAGAAAAATTTCCTGTAAGTTGCTGGCATTGTGCTTTGAAGTTTTTCCCTTTGAGGCCACTTTATAAGATGCCTTGTGACATAAAAAATGTCTAACATCTCGTGAAAGAGACGAGAGATAGTTGATACATGAACACTAAATCGAAAGGCTAGATCTTCTTCAAACAAATTTAGACAAAGTTTCTTCATAAACATAACAATTAAATTGAACTCAGACAATCTTTTCTCTTTTTAGGTAGTGCTGGTAGGACCAACTCAAACAAGGCTTCTATGACAGTCAATTGGGATGACCTGTATGAAAAGAATTATAATAGACGCATCATGACAGCAGACAAATTTACTCTTACCAGTGTAAAACTGTAAAAGATTTTCATCCTTTTTGAACATTTGATGCCAATATGAATCTCAGATTTGAACTGCAACATGAAGAGATGGAACAGAGAGAGGAGCTTGACATCAGAAATCCCTGTAGGTAACTGTGAGTTGAGAATCATTATTTGATAGTTGCTCTGGAGATTGAACAACATCTGAGACCCCTGCTTCTGATTCCATTGCATCTTCCAGAAAATCATTTTGCTTCATGGGTCTACATCTCTGAAACATTTTATATCAATTTAGTCTAGGATTTAGTGCAGGCTGTGCTAATGAATATGCCATCTTTACAGTCAGAGCCCAATTGGGATCATTTTCGTGGTATAGAGTAGCTGGTTTCCGTAATAATAATTAATTTAAATGACAGACTTGTTCTCTGGTACATTGTCTTACGTGAAATAAAAAGCATACCCTGCATAGGAATCTGATTATTCCTCTTTATATAAGCAATTCATGCAGTCCTTTTTTTATCAGAAAGCTTCTTAGTCCTTTCTCCTTGGCGTGGAATTTTGTAAAAGCCTTTTCTAAAATCTTTTTTAGCATGATTGGCACAGCTTATGACACATCAGCCATGATTCATGGTGTTTTGCCACCTAACATGGCCAACAGGAACAATCCACACATACTAATTACTTTGCTGCAACTTGTCTATTGACTAGCATTATTCCTGTTTATGCTAGGCAATGGAGGAGAGTGACTGATGTGGGTGTAATCTCATGATCGAGTTATTGCAAACTGCCCCTGCCTAGACCCTCTGAAAAGAACCAGGAGATCGAGAATACTTAGAAGTATTTGCTTATTATAGTAGTGAGCTAGTTTTACAGCAAGGTTGAAATTTTATTGCAACCAATTGTCATATTTAGGCTAGTTTCACTAAAAACTATTGTTCAGTACCCATTTGTTGCTTTACACGGCTTGAAGAAGCAAATCAAGTACTTCAGACAAATTTTTTAAGACAATGGCTATTAATTTTCAACTTTGCTTTAGCACTAGCTAATTATTGTATGTAGCACATCTTTTCAGTTGTTTGGACTGTTGTTGAAAAATATTGTAGTTTTTAGCTAAAAACTGTCAACCCCACCCTATCATTAAATATGCAGAAGGTACATTTAGCTGATTATCGCTGTAGTTGGTTTGTCAAATTTAGTACTTATACTTTTTATAACAAACATACCTACTTGCTGATAGCAGACCAGAATTAGAATTGCACTGCTAACAGACCTGAAATATTATTTGGCACAATTGCACTACTATATTAAGCCAATAGGTAAATTTCTCATCACTGGATTAAATAAGGAATCTTTCCCTAGACAGCTATTCGCACTTCTAGCTTTGTAATTGGTGTGGTCTTAGAAAATGGACTGCTATTGCATGATAATTCTTAAAACATTTTGGCAACGAAAAGAGCTATTACAATGATTATACGCAAAAATGCATTAGACATACTTATGTTGCCTGATTATGTGAGACAATAATCATACAAACATAGAAAAAACATAAAAAGTGAAAATGTATGATTGACCTTACTTGAATGCAAGCGTGAGACTCATTGATGATGTGTGTAACTATAGTCCTAAGCTTGTGCATCAAGATAATAGTTATACTAAAGACATAGAGAAACCAAAGAAAGGAAAGGAAGGAAGGTGT